TTTTTTTTTTTTCTGGTTTTACCTGATTAATTGTTTATGACGCTGTCGGTTGTTATAGTACTGAAATTGCTCTCTTCTAGTAGATCAATTTTCTGCCTCATAACTTAACAATTTTTATTCAAATCAATCATAAATTTCTTTTTTTTTTTTTCAACTGAAGTACAGTCTTGTTGAATCGAATATTTCAAACTTTTTTGTAGGTTTGATTATATAATGTAATGCCTCACTGTCAATTTCAGTTGTCTGACTGAACCGGGTTAGCGACAACGAAACAACAAAAAAAAAGGGAAAAAAAAGTGGGGAATGTTCAGTCTGCATTGTTCCTGACCATAGTAAATCATAGAACTGCGGTCATCCTTACTTCCTTTCTCCTTGTCGCTAATACTACCGTAACTGTTTAGTTGTAGTAATGTATATATTAGAATAGTCTTAATTTTTTTTTAATTTACCTGTGTTTTTTTACTAGTAAAATAGCATGGTTATTTCGCCATCTCTCTTCTTTGTCTTTTGACTTTTCTCACAAATTTTTCAAGCTGTAAAAATCAAAAGTTTTGTTTATTTTTTGTAGTATACCTATGCTTTGGTGTTTGTTACACTTAAACCGCATGCTAAGCATTGTTTTTTGTTTTGTTTACAATAATTTTTTTAAATGAATATCAGTTAAAAAGCATGGTTAATGAAGCTTGACCCAATGTTACTATCGGTCACTAAAATTAGGGATTAATCGAAAGTAATGTAATTAGGAGTTGTCAAAGTGCAGTTTATTGGCTATAGGCAAAGTGAAGAGAAATGAGGTCAGTATTTTGGTGGTTAGAACAAATATTATTTGGCTTCTGATCAATGGCGTAATACCTTATCGTATAGACTTTAGGTCGTAGAATAGTACTGCAAGAAACAATTACTGGTTAAGCTTGAACAGAAAAAGAAAAAATTAGAAAAAAAGTAATATTAAACACTGAAGGAAGTATAAACTTGTAAAACTTTATGGCGTACACTTTAAAGTTTTATTTATCTCTTTGCCGACATCAATGAGTCTGTTCACACAAGAAAAAAATTTCCAAAATTTATTTATTCATTTTTTTGGTTTAAATCTTTTTAGATATGACCAATAGTCGCATCTCATTAAACTTTGTAACTATGTATTTTTAGAATTAAATATATTTTGGAAGTTGTTTATTTAAATTAAACAAAATTTTTATCTATAAATTTAAATCTCAACAAGTATGAGGAAGAAAAAATAGTTGTTTTTTGTTGTTCTTACTGCTGCTGCTGCTGCTGCTGTTTTATAAAATGAAACTTTGTAAGTATTGCCAGCAAAAGTTGCTGATTTTACAATTATTTTGCCGTTAACAGCAATAACGATGAAAACATTTGAGATATTGTCGGTTATCATGCGTTCATACCGTTTGACAGCAATTCTAAGCGTATTTATAACAGCATTGACAGTATCTGTGGCGGATGAATTGGTACTTGTTCATGTTGTAAGTTTCCGCATGATTAACTGACAGTTATTGACAATATACTTGCATTTTCTATGCTATAAAGCTACTGCTTGAGAAGTTATATACCAAAAAAAAATCTATAAAAGTTGTCATTTAGCAATTATATTCTTGTAAAAATATAAAACTAACAAATTTTTTTAATTTTAAAATACAAAAGAAAAAGTAGATCAAAACCAGAAATTTTTTTTTTTCTGATTTTTGGCAATTATCATGACATGTACACTTTTGTTATCAGTTTTCACCATTGCTCAGATATGGCGACATGGAGAACGTTCACCGTTAGGTACATTCAAAAATGATCTTTATCAAGAAAATTCGTGGCCGCAGAATTATGGCGAACTGTCATTTGTTTGTTTTTTTTTTTTAATCTTTCTAACGCAAAGAACAAAGTTCAAAAATGTTTCGATTTTTTCAAAATTTTTTCAATAAAGTTGTGATTTTCTGTGATTTTCAAATAAACACAACAAAAAAAAACTGTGATTTTCAAACTGTGATTTTCAAATAAACTAAATCTCAAAAACAAGCAACTTATTACTACTGAAAAAATGAAAACTTTAACAATACTTTGTTACTGATTTATTGCAGAAAGGTATGGAGCATATGGTTCAACTTGGTCAACAATTAAGGAAACTGTATATGAAAGATGTCAATTTTTTGACTAATAGATATCACTCTAACGAGGTCTAGTTTTTGTTGTCATTTTTTTAGCATGTTTAGGTTTCTAAAAAAAGGTTTTTTCTTATAGTTTTTTCTTATAACTATTTTTTTTAAATTTGCAACTCATCAATTATATGTCAACATGTCGTTAATTGATAATAGTAAAAATTTCTGCAGATTTATGTTCAATCAACAAACTATAATAGAACTATCATTAGTGCAATGTCAGCGCTAATCGGACTTTACTATGATAATACCTCGAGACCGACTACAGACTATCCTAGTGGGATATGGCCGGCACACTTTATTCCAGTTGCAATACATACCCTCGGACCCGGTGATCGGGTACCAACTGTCTATTTGTTTGTTTTTTGTCTTTTAATTTCATGTTTTTTTTTTCTAGTCAGTAGAACTTCTATAATATAACAGTTTTGCGGCGAGAGAGAATTTTGCACAGCTATTGTTTACAATCTATAATTGACTTACAGTCGGAAATGTTACAGTTACTTGACCCAACATCACCTTGCGCAAGGCATCTGTGGTTGTGGAAAAAAGCAACTAAAACAGTGGAATACACAAATTTAATGTCCAAGTCTCAAGTTAGTCTTGAAGAAACAAGTTTTTTCAGTAATATTAGCAATTTAGCTTGAACTCATCAGCATAGAAAAATTATAGGTTAGTTACAGTTTTATTAAGCATAATTATACTGCGTAAAGTTAAAAAAGTTAAGTTGCAGGAAAGTTTCTTTTTATTTACTGTGCACAACAAATTGTTTAGAAGCGTAGAACATTACAGAAATCAAAGCTTTTGTTTGATTTTTATTATTATAAGTGTTAATTAATAAAAGCTTCTCATAAAAAAATCTGAAAGCTATCACTTATGATAGTCTTTCTTTTTTGCTTTTTGCTTTTTTTTTTGCAAGTTCTTCTGTGTGAATGTGTAAAATTCATATTTATCTGAACGTTATTTGGACAATAACACCTTAGTTGAATATTTCAATATTTTGTAGGTGCTGCTACAACATTTATCTAATGCAACTGGCATCGAGAATTTATCGCTAGAATCTTTATGGTTTCCATACGATATAATCTATAATGAGGTTTTTAGAATCAGTATTACAGTTTGACAACTATGCAATTAATAAGCACTAAATACCACCATTTTTTGTTGCCTTACTGTAACCAAAAAGAAAAATTTTGAGCAATTTTGCAAATTTAGTTTACATTTTATCATTCTTATTGAACAATACTTTTTTTTTTTTTAAATTTTGCTCTAGCATAATTCAGTCATTAAACGACGACTATACAACTTTTTCCCCTCTTCCAAAAAAAAATGTTAATTATTTTTTCATTACAATAATTCAATTATTCATTTGTCGAAAAAAAAACAATACAAAAATTGGTAAATTTTTGAAATAATGTAGCTTCAATGACAAAAAAAAATGAAAAAACGCACATCTCTATACAGCGACTTTATTTACTGTATGCGACACTTTACGGTTCATTGTTGGGTGCCTTCTAACACCTTTTCCTAAGATTCAGATACATTTTCTGTTTTTATTATTAGTCAAGCATCTTTTCTCAAATAATAAGTAAATCTAAGTGCTTTGTTGAGTTTTGTTTCAGTTACTTGATGGTCGACCAACAGTGATCACCAATGACGTATTTGTTGCCATGGAAAATGTTAAAAAATTGGTAGATGATATGGCGGAAGGTTTAAGTACGACCAAGCACAATTTTTCTTTAAAGTTGAACTCATCTGTTTACAAACTGTCTCTACTTTTCCAATTTTTTTTCAACAAATTTTTTTTTTTATCTTATGGAGCGAAAAAAATGGGTTACCAGATACGTTGGATTCAAAAAAATGGTGTAATCTGAAAAAGAGATAAAACAGAGAAATCTTTTTTTAAATGTTGCATTTTAAATTCTCTTTTTATTTACTTTTTGTTTTTTTTTTCTTGTTCTCTTCAGCCGTATATTGATTTTTGATAGAATTTAACAATCCACTGTCAATTCACTGTTTATCCAGGAAATTTAAATACAAAAATCAGGCAAGAAAGAAGAAGGAAAAAAAAAGAGGAACAACCAGAAATAATTACTTTTTCAGGGAGATTTCAACTGTTTTATTATTTTTTTCTGACTATTTAAACTTTTTTTTTTTGAAGATATTAGCGACATTGATGGTATCTGTTTGCGCGATGAAATTGCAAAAATACGTGGCGGTTATTTGTTGTGGGATATCATAAATCGTATTGAT